CTGTGTGAATACCATCAATGGGGAGACATTTACAGTTTTAACCTGGTGGTACCATGAGGTTTTCATCCCCTTGGACCAAATACCCTCCAATTTGATTTCATCAGCTCAAGAGCAAGTATGTGACTTCCTACTCTGTGCACATTTGATATATGTGTGATTACAAAAACACTGTTCTTAGTGTTCCAAGTAGAATAAACACACTATTAAGTACTGTATTTCTAAAAAAAATCAATTTCAGGAACTCATCACAAAGGCATTATTGTGCCTTTAAATTGACTCAACCAAATCTTTATATCGAGGAAAAATTGTTTTAAAATATGTTTTGATTCATGTGTATGTGTTCTGCTTTTGTTACTTTGCTTCCTCTTTCTTTCATTTTTTTCTCTTTAACTGAAATGGTCCCGGTTTTTACATTTCTCCCTCCTTAACCATTTGCACTTGTTTCTAGCTGGTTGAGCAAACTTTAATGATCCAACACACTTCTCTTGATGTTCAGCATCAACATAATTCCTCCTTAAAGAATAAGCTCAAGTTTTGTGAGCTCAAGAAGGACCTAGGAGGCCAAAATCACGTTTGTATGACTGATTAAAACGATCAGTTCACTCCACATATCAAGTAACGTTTTACACTGCAGAATTAAACTAAGCTGAAGTTAGGAACATCTCAAAGTCTTCATTAGTAATGGCAATTAACCATCTCCTTCTGCTCACAGTACTAGACATTCCCACTCACTAATTTTCATCTTGCCCACTCAACCTGAAGCTGAAGAATTAATGCAGATTATAATTATTTTTTGTGAAAATTTAATCAGTAGATCTTTTGGTCATTTCCATTGCTACCTTTTACAAGAACTACCTACTTTTACTTTTACTAGGTCTTCCCGAGTTAAATTTTAATATATGATTTAATGAGTGATCTGATCATTCATGTGATCTGCTGTTTAGAAATATAATACTTTTTAGATATGGCTTTCACAAACAAAATTAGGAAGATCATTGTTACAGGGAAATGTAAAGAAATTTCAAATGAACAGACTATGATTTATAGCATGAAAAAGATTGAGCATGTCCTAATTCTGTTGTGACTAGAAACCTGCCAGCATAGAGACGCCTGCTTCAAGTCTTAACACAATTGTGCTTTTGAGAACCTGTAGCTGATATCTGAACCCACAGCAGACCCTCAGACAAAGCAGACATATTCCCTTCTGACTGCAGACTGAGAAGTTTCCTTGCACTTTCCAAGGCATCAGGACAAGTTTCAATGCTTCTGATACAATATGTTTACCCAACACTATAGAAAGATTAATTTCCTCTCTATAGAGTTTAGTGCAGAGGACTAGAATCCTTTAATTATACCTTTAAACAATACCCCAATAAAAGTTTGTTTATGAATTTAGTATTTCAGAATTTTGCAGAAATGAAAAGTTTCCATGGATCACAAGACAAATGATCCATATTAAAAAACCCCACATCTTCATGTCTGAATGAGATATTTGTTTGGTTCCTAGAACCCATAAAAACTACTGCCACCAGCTTTCAAAACATTTCAAAATATTACAAAGTCTAAACAAATTCCAAAATTTGCATGTCTAAGACCAGAGGATAAAAAAAGAAACAGGAAGCTATTTGTAAAATCAGACCATTTAACATGCCTTATGGTGCCTCCTAAGACAGACATTTTGATGGCAAATAAGAATTATTCCCAACCTACAACAGACTGTAGTTTCCAAAATCAATATTCCAATTGTGACTCTCGTGCTGACAAGTACAACCTCTGGACAAAAACCCCTAACCCAGCAACACATATTCCATGTGCTTAAATCAACATGTGTACCTTTTTCCCATCAACTGAATTCATATGACAGAGGATTAATAAAAATTATTTAAATTTAAGAAATTCTAAATAGTTCCTAATCTCTTTTGCTTTGCTATCTGCTGTGTATGTGAAAGACCAGGCTACTCCATAAGAGATTAAAAAAAAATAGTATCTCTTTAGGTAATGTATTTTAGGTGGTTATATACCCAGCTTTAGGTATTCATGTGTGCAAGGAATGACCCAGAAATTTCTGCTTTATTTTCAGAGGTAGGAAGCAGATCCAGGTCCATTGATATCAACAGGAATTGCAGGAGCTAAGTATCTTTGCAATACAGGGTTCTGTTATATTTTTTTTATTATTTAGGCTACAACAATTATTTTCTTTGTCATAGAAAAAAAGAAACTATCTGAAACTGGAATCTGCAGTTCTCCTCAACTGCCTTCTAACTTTCTAACATAAGCTGCTAATACGATCACATCTTCACAGTAATGTGTCCACTTGATAAGGAGGCATATCTGGGAAAGCCTAGAGAACTTTCCTGAAGGACAAATTAGCAACAGATTTAACAATTATCTTTATCCTACCATCTTGCTGCTGTCTTTGTGTACTCTCATCTTACTGAAGACAAGAAAAGCTTGTTTACTGCAAAGCTTCACAGTGTATTCTCAGAAGAATCCTTTAAATTTGGCTATTGGGAAATGTTAGGAAAGTTTAATTTGAATTAAAGGTCTTAAGTGACTGCATAAAAGTACTATGTGCATTAACTTTAGTAGGTCTATAGAATCACAGCACCATCCAGGCCAGAGAGCAATTCAGAATTACTTTAGTCCAGCCTCCCACTCAAAGTGGGGTCAGCTCACTCGAGGCTTTATGCAGTGCTTGTCTTGAAAATCTCCAAGGATGGAGACTGCACAACCTCTCTCAGCTTAATTATTTTCATCATCATGCTTTTTTCCTCCCCTACATCCAGTCAATACCTCCTCTGCTTCAATTTATTACTCCCATTTCTCAGTCTCCCAGCAGGCATTTTAATAAAAAGCCTTGATAACCTCCTTGCGGACTGTAGGTTATGCAGACTTAGAAGCCCTTTCTCCTCCAGGCAGAACAAATTCACTTCTTCCAGCCACAAGGCATGGGGTCTGGCCTTGGTGGCTCTCCACTATGTTTACTGGGGTTTATTAATATATTACCTTTAATAACTGGATATGGTATTCCAGATAATGAGTGCCAAATAAAAGCAGGATAATGGCTTCCCTCCCTCTAAGGCCTATGCTACTACTGATAGTGGTAGCAGTACCAGGGCTATTCCACTGTATGTAGGAATAAGAATCTAGTTTTTATTTAAGTCTTGAGAAAAACCTAGACACCAGGAATGCCTTTAACAGAAGCACAGGATCAAGTAAAAATTAATAATGAAGGGTGCTTGGGTGAAGGGAACAGGGACTCAAGGACTCAATGGATGTTCTCATTAAACTTTTCATTCATTTCAGGGAAATGCTAAAGACAGATGGACCCATCAAAACAAATTCTGATGTTTTGTTATCTCTCTCTTCTTTTACCATGGTACTTCATTTGATGGAAAGGGACTTCCAAGAACAGATGGGATGCACAAGTCTAGGAGAGGGAGTATCAGCTTCAAAAGTGGACTTAGTAACTTGGTGATGAAGCCTCTAAGCAAGGCTTGGCACAGGATGTGCTCCTAAGCCTAAAGGTAGGTTAGGAAACGTAGGAGAGAAAAGCTGCAAGGATAACATTCACATCCCCAGTTAGAAAAGAGGGTATTCACAGACAATTCAAATGCCTGTGCTCTGACACAAGAGGAGAACAGTAAGTCTGTACACAGACTTCCAAACAATAGATGATCCTTATATACATTAATGTAGTCTATATTAACTAGTTATATTAATAGACACCGGTAGAAACCTTCTACTCCTATGTAAAGCAAAGCACTGAAACAGCTTAAGGAAGAGGGATATCAGGAAAGCTCCATTTGCAAGGATTTAAAACCAAATCAAGAACATCTACTGGGATGCCTTCAATACTGCCAGACAGTTTTTTGTATAATGCCCAGACAAGTATTATAGGGCTACTTCACTTAGAGAGGATTCCACCTTTTCTCAATGCTGCGCTTTATCAGTCATTAAGAGATGAGAAAATTGTTATCAGCAGAAAATTTTACTTCAGACCATCCTGCACTTAACCAGTAATACCAAAGGACTGTGGAAAAGGTTAGGGAAAAATAAGCAGGAAAAAATTAAAATCTGAAAAAAATTAACCCCGAAGCTCTAGAATAAAACAGCAATCTGAAAAGAAGTCACAGAGAAAAGCAGAAACCACCAAGTGTAAAGTAAATCACGGTGTCAGATGCAAATCCTGCTGATAAAGAGAATATAGTTCTGTAAATATCCAGGAGGTTAAATATCATTTTGCTTTGGGAAAAAATGTTGTTTTGTTCACAGCAATCAAGTTTGCACCTTCACACAAATCAGTCAATAAGTGGTAGGTGGTCATGAAGGTGTGAGCTACAGAAAGGGACCAGTTAATTATATACAGGGCTTGTTCTACAGTCCTGTTTTGTTGTTTTCTGTGTGGTTTTTGGTTTGGGGATTAGAGGATTTTTTAATTGACTTGTTCATAAGCTTTCAGAGACAGCAACATCTTTTGCTCATCCCATTTCTCCCTGAAAAGCCAGTAACTGGCTTTCAATTAACACACCCTGGGGAACTTCATAGACTACAGTCGATGGCTGGTATTACAACCTGCTCTTCCAGAGTGTACTGTTAAGAGCCCATTGTTTCTTATTCAGTATAAGCTTAAGAACAAATATTTTTCAGTCAGTTGCTGGCTAAAACATATTCAAAAGTTATAAAATTAGTCCAAAATTTAAAAGTCATCATTGAAAAATATTTGTAATCAATATGAAGTAGCACACTTATCAATAAAAAAAAAAAGAAAACAAAAAAACCCAAATACATATTTTAATGTTCTTTTCACCCATAGCTAGTCACAGATTACCAGAGCTGTTGATATTGCATGAATTGTCTGGAAATCATCTAGTTCAGAGGCCCTGCTCAGGCCTACATATCATTGGGTTTTCAGTATCTCCAAGGACTGAGACTCCGAAACATCTTGTCCTGTCACTGAGAAGAATCTTCCTCTGCCATCTTTACTTCCCCCCCACTCC